TGACAAGATGAAAGCAGTGCATGATTGGCCAACACCAGACAATGTGGGAGAGTTAAGAAGTTTCTTGGGAAGCTGTACCTATTACCGGAAGTTTGTGAAGGACTTTGCAACTATATCCACTCCACTACATGATTTGTCCAAAAAAGGCCAGAAGTTTGAATGGGCAGTTTCTTGCCAGCATGCTTCCAAGACATTGAAAGAAAAATTGGCCTCAGCCTCACTTTTAAAGTTTTCAAATCCCTCACTGCCATACATACTGGATTGTTATGCTAGTAATGTCGGAATTGGAGGAGTGTTGTCTCAGAAATAGAGTGAAAACGAACATGTGGTGGCCTACTTTAGTAGGGTTTTGAGTACACCAGAGAGGAACTACTGTGTAACACGGAGGGAACTCCCTTCTATAGTAAAGAGTCTGACATATTTCCATCCTTACCTCTATGGGGCTAGGTTTACCATTAGGACAAACCATGCTGCATTATGCTGGTTAAGATAATTAAAGAACCCAGAGGGACAACTGGCACATTGTATCGGAGAAATAGACCAGTATAATTATGATGTTGAATACAGAGAAGGAAAATCTTATGGAAATGCCGATGGACTTAGCCGAAGACCCTGAAAAAATGACTGCAGACATTGCTACAAAAGAGAGGTTTAACTAACCAGGTGCCATCAAGCTGAAGTCAAAGTGACTGAAGGAGTTGATGATTTTGAAGTGGAACCAAATATAGATATTAAAGCAGAACATGAGAAAGACCAAGATTTGAGGCCAATAATTGATTTTCTAAAAGCAAGTGTTTTGTGCCCAGCTTGGGAGAAAGTGTCTTGCTTAAGCCCTGTGACAAAGAATTATTGGACACAATGGGACCAGTTGAAGCTTGAAGATGGTATTCTTGTCCAGAGATGGGAAAGTGACGACCTGGCAAACAGTTATACAGAGAAAGTTACGAGAAGTTGTGCTGCGTTAATCCCATGATAGTTTTACAGGTGGACATCTCGGAGTTAAGAAAACATTGAGTCACCTACGACAGAGATTTTACTGTATAGGTATGAGGCAAGATGTGGAAGAATGGTGCAGGACATGCAGTACATGTGCTAAAAGGAGATCCAAGCACAAAGGATGTGCTCCAATGAAGTTATATCAAGTTGGTGCACCAATGGAAAGAGTAGCCGTTGACATTGCAGGTCCTTTGCCCCAAACTCGTGTTGGAAATAAGTACATGTGTGTGGTGATGGATTATTTCACCAAGTGGCCTGAGGCATATGCAATACCAAATCAGGAAGCTACAATTGTAGCTTCGGCTATTGGTGATTTCTTCTTCAGATTTGGTATGCCATATGAACTGCATTCGGATCAAGGCCGTAACTTTGAATCAGCTGTGTTCTATGAATGCTGCAAGTTGTTTGGCATACGAAAGACCAGGACGACGCCACTTCACCCACAGTCTGATGGGATGGTAGAAAAGTACAACTGGATACTGGGACAGGAATTGACAAAGTTTTGTAATAGTCGTCAAGATGACTGGGATGTCTTACTCCTTCCACTGTTGATGGCCTATAGGACAGCAGAGCATGAAGCCATTGGATACACTCCAGCAAAGTTAATGTATGGTCGGGAACTTCGGTTGCCAGTGGATCTGTTATCAGGAT